TGAAGGCGCCACCGTTTTGCGCATGGATCCAGCTGTGTGCTTTCTTCGGACCAAAATTGGCAGTGCTCAGTTGTGCACCTATGTACGGCTGGCTGCACATGAACAAATTCCAAAACCTCAGCAGAGCTTGCAAGGGGGTGGCTCCCAACGTGGGCAAATCGCTCTTGGAAAGGGAAAACAATAATATATTATTATACTGTACATATTATTACCGTGTTAAGACTCGCCGAATATCAAGACGTTTTCAGGATTGGCCTTGCCAAGTTGTCAGAAATAAGAAAATATGCCTTCGTTACATATCGGACACTCTATAAAAGTGTCATCCCATCAGCTGCATGACCTTCTGGGAGTGTATAATTTCAGCCACATTGGTTCAACACAAGCAAGCTGGATTTGACAGTGTCACATCGGCAGAGCCAGGCTTGCTTGAAATGCTGCTAAACTGCCAGATATTTATGAACAAAGGCCCTCTCTGTTATATTTGAAGCAAACGATGCAATACGTAGCACAACGTAATAATTAGCGTATTTGTGGAGAATATAGATAACAAAGTATAAGAAGAGGACAATACACCTCTTTCCAGATCAAATATAACAGTTTATAGTAATAGTTTTTTTACTCTTTCATCTGGTACAAAAACTGACACCTTTATACAATGCATCATGTTTGCAATAACCACAACACAAGCAGTCAAAATGCAAACAAAAAGAAACAACTCTGATAATGATAATGATATGCACTGTCCTTGAAGTTGATTGGTCCACACCCGAGACAGCTTTTCTTAGAGCCTAGTCTCCATTGGTGTTGGACCAGATGACGCCAAAAGGCGTATCAACTCAAAAACAGCGCACTATCAGAGTATTGAGAGCTCGGGGTAAGCATTTACACTATGAGACCTCCTTTACCAGTATAAAAATATAGTAATAGGTTTTTACCCTTTTATCTGGTACAACAAATGACACCTTTATACAAGGGATCATGTTTGCAATAACCACAACACTATATTTTGATACTGGTAAAGGAGGTCTCATAGTGTATAACAGTTTATTTTTGTATGCAGCCCATCCAGTGTTCCCGTTGTCTTCAACGAATGCTGCTGAAATTACACAATCCCAGAAGGCCGTGTGGCTGATGACATGTGTAAAAATAATTTTACTTTTGTATTTTTATGGAGAGGGAAATCTTGGCGACCTTGAGACAGCGTAGCCTGTGGGTCTTGTTTCCACGCTATTAATTCACTATAATTTCTCCCCGTATGATAATCGCTCTGATTGTTGTGGTTGTTGTCTGTGGGGTGCCCGTAATTTTAGTGCTGATGTGCTCCTGGGTTGGCCGTTAATGGCTTTCGCATTTTATCTATTAATAAATCAACATGCAAATAACCAAACACTCTCTAAGCCCCAGTGGCATGTCGTTGTTTGTGAGGGCCCACCGACTGTCCCCCCTACTTTGTAGCTACACCGGGTGCAGTTGCGATCACCTTCACACTTTATAGCAGTCGTTTTTTCCCCTTTTCTGCAGCCTGCATCCCTTTTGGTTCTCAGAAAGGGCATCTCACAGGCCCAGGGAGTGCATGCACCCCAGGTGAAGAACCACCGCTCTCTAGCCTCACCACCGTTCGAAGCATACCTTGTTGCGCTGAATGAATATTCCAGAGTGACAAGGCACTAAATCAGGCAATCCCGTCAGACCTCCTGAAGCTAAGCAGGGTTGAGCCTGGATAGTGATTGGATGGGCACCTGTACCAGGCACAGGTGCCATTGACGTTGTCAGCGGCAGAGGGGAGTGCAGAAAACAAACATTGTTCCACGCAACCTTCACCAACCCTCACTGACCAGTGTGGTGAGGTATGGTCTAATAATCCTGAAGACCTGCACAGATTTGGAATGCCCTCATCTAGCAATGAATTGACAAAGAGGTAGATCGTGAGGGAATAACGACAATTAGAGCTCTTCACCCTCCACCACCAGACAGGCCTTAAAGTATTGCCCCACTTCATACATGCACACTTCATACATGCACACTTCATACATGCACACTTCATACATGCACACTTCATACATGCACAGTACATGCACACTTCATACATGCACACTTCATACATGCACACTTCATACATGCACACTTCATACATGCACACTTCATACATGCACAGTACATGGACACTTCATACATGCACAGTACATGGACACTTCATACATGCACACTTCATACATGCACACTTCGTACATGCACACTTCATACATACACAGTACATGGACACTTCTTACATGCACACTTTATACATGCACACTGTGTACATGCACAAAGTGGCACAATAGGTAAGGGTTTGACATCCTGTGCACTGCATGGTGATGTCATGTGATGCAATGTAAACACTCAAAGGGTGCAGCATTCTGGGTTACATAAACAAAAAATAACAATTACTTTCCTTTAATATCACCACACAAAAAAGATATAATCTACTTTGTCAGCCTATATATCGGCCTCCGGAACTTATGTTAACGAGCAAAACTATGAACGTTGTGAGTATTAGATAGATGAAAATTCTCCAGAATCTGAATACTTGAACAAATGCTGCTCATTTCCACGAACATGAAAGCCCAATAATCCAACAAACGACAAACATTTTTTGCGTGGAAATACAGAACACAAGGCGATCTATTTATTTGCACGTAATATTATGCTCTGTGTCTGACTGATATTCTGCACATGAATAGTTATAATTGGGTGCGATACCAAACCTTCCGCCACTTTGCAAATCACCATGCATGTGTAATACCACGTATATGCATTGTCAATATTGCTGATTATAATGGATATACATTTCGACTATTTCCACAGACTGTTCTGACCTTCTCGTGTAACATGTGGCCACTGTGTGCTTGCCAAGAGTGCATGAGAAAAAAAGCATGCTAATGTATTACTTTGAAAATCCTTTCACAGCAGTGTATGCCGTGCACATGCATAACATAAGGAACGCTGTGGTAGCAAGTTCAATAGAAGTAGTACTTAGTCTGAATCTAAATCACATGATGCAGCTGAATGGTAGACTTTGTGTAGGGCTTTTGTGGAAAGGAGATCCCAGCCTTGTTATTTCTCACTGTTTAAAAAAAGAAGTGCAATACATATGTGCTGCAGGCAATATATTTGCTTAGACATTGCTATTGCTGAAATCATGCTGACAAGAAAATATGTAAAGAAAATAAACATAACCTTTGATCAAACTCATGATGTGTTGTTGTGGAGCATGGGTGAGCGCATATATAAACATAACTCCATTCGGTGTCTCTACATATAAAATACAAACATTGTTTAGCCCATCAGCCTTTCCAGACCAAAATTATTCAGATACATTTTAAGCAAGAATACTGGGCCGGTTTCGACCTTCAGCATTTCATAAACAAAAGGCTTGCTTATTAAACAAATGCTGCTGGGTTACGAGATGTTATTGGCACCCCATTACGTGTTGTTGTGGGGCCTTATGAGTAAAACATATATTCGCTGAACTCCATGGTGGCGAGATGTTATCTCCCTTGCCTGCTATGCAAGAGGTTGTGGGTTCGATCCCGACCCTGACTCCTGTATATTTGGAGCTTGCGTTTTCTCTCCCTATGGTTGTGTGGATTTTTCTCTGGGTTCCGACTATTTGGCTGCTCCTATAAATTCCCGCATGTGATGGTAATCGCCACTTCGATGACCTATCATGTGTGGCCAGGTCGCCTGTGAAAGAGAGCGAATAGCTGAGTGGGCTTTATCTGGTAAATAAAACAGCAGTACCGTCGTAGTATTATAATTGTACTACAACACGTTTGTATCTATAATTGGAGACGCAAAACGGAAGTTCTGCTTAAATGATTATTGCTCGCATTATTGCACTTCAGCGGCGTGAGAATAAATTCTGCAAGTGGTGGTGTGTGGTGGATAAGCTGACGAACTCTCTGCTGGGCGAGATTAAAACTGTATTCACCTGTTTTGTAAGTCGTCGTAGTCGGCGCGTGTTGTTGCCAACTGCGGGAGTGCGCTCGAGAAGCAGGCGGTGTGCGTGGGATGCGTTCGTTTTGAGCGATCACAAAGCGCCCCAGTGCTGCTATTTACAGGAGGGAGGGCCCTGGCTGTCGGCGAGGTGTTATATGAATGGTGGTGGTGTTGATTAACCCTTACTGGGTTTCGATTGTATTATTTAATTATTAGTAGTATCTTCCTTTACACGGCTACATCGGGATCGACAAATGTTATTCCTCCGGTGACATCAAGAATAATGTTCAGGCACGCGCGCATGTGAAGAACCGTGTATTAAGTAGGGTATACGGGCATTCTACTTAAAATGCATTAGCCAGCAACAATTATTTGCTCACGCAAGCAAATCCTGGACTGGGTTTCGCCTTCTGGGTCTCAACATCATAGTGGTGGTAGTGACGAAGCCCTCGTGGTCTATAAATTTGTTTTTATTACTTTATATGCCTGCGCATGCAAATACAAATATTCTTCTTCTCGCAATATTAGAAATGCCATTCGCCCACGCGCATGTGTAAAAGGGTGTTCAAAAATAACATACGTTCCCATTATGTTTAAAGATGTATTTGTTTTTGAAATGGCTCAATGTCAACATCGTAAATCGGGAAGGCTTGGGGTGGCAGGTGCACGGATCTTTCGTCATGGGGTGGCACAGTGTCCACACTCACAACTGCACCCGGCTTCCTCCAGGGAAAGCTTTTCATAAATTCCTGCCCTGGCTCTCACCACATTTGCGTAATTGCCACCTGTCAATCACCTCTTTTCCTTTTCTCTCTGCCTCTTCTCAATAATTATTTGCATGCTTTTTTTCTCTTCTACTTTTCTAACTTTCTTTTGGTCACACAACAAGGGACCACCTACGGTTACATACGTTTACCATTCCGATTGCGTTCATCCCGTGCCTCCTGATTATGCCCTTCTCTGAATGTGTTGTTGAAAATGTTTCTCGTTAAAAATCCTCCGCCCTCCTCTTGCCGTTGCAGTGCAACAAGGCGCGACGGCGCCGGCAACAGACGTGCCCGTGGACCCACTGCCAACGGCAGCCGCCCCGCCAGCGCAACCGGTGCAGCCGCTGCCTTCAAGCCCACCGGGAGGCGCCTTCAGCCCGCCGGCTCAGCCTCAACCGTACCCACCGGGGCCACCGCAAGCGGCGTACCCCTCCTCCCCGCATGCCCCGTACCCCTCACCGCAAGCCCCGTACCCCATGCCGAGCTATCCGGCCGGTCCCAACCCCCCGTACCCGCTCGCCATGCCGCAGCCGTGCCTGCCTGGTGCGCACTTGCAGGAGGGTGCCTACCCCGCTCCGCCTGGGTTCCACGTGGGGCCCATGCCACCACGTGGCCCGTTGTTCGCCCCTGAGGGCCCTCCGTACCCGACTGGGCCCTCTGGATACAATGCAGGTAGGGCCGTTTTGTTCGTCGGCAACGTTGCGTTTTTCGAGGATTGAACTCTTACAAAACACTTCTTTCATCTGGCGTGTAAGCAACAGTTTGCATAGATGATGTCATGGTTGAATGTTAAGGTCCTTCAACCAATCCAAGGTGGCAATAGACACTGTATGGATTGCAGCGATACCACCAGGGTGTGTGTGGATGGCACACTCGTCGGTGATGTGTTTGATGGTTCGGACATGGGAGCGTACTCGGAAGAGCAAGGCGAGCACTTACACCAGGATATACTGGACTTTGAACGCCGCTACCAAGGACAGTATAACAAGAACATGATGGGAGACAACATTTGGGGGCTGAATCATGAAAGTGATTTACAGTATAATCGTAAATCTCGGAAAAACTACTCACTTCTAAATCTTTTGTAGTAATTTTTGTATTACTTTAGTATAAATACATGTTAATTTTGATTCATATGTTGTTTTTTCTGACTTTATGTGAACGAAAAGACACAAATTTGCCCATTTTCTCATTGAAAATAGGTATATTTTGAAATATCACTTTCCTGGTCACAAAAGCAAAGTTTGTGGGGAATAATAGCCATTTTCTGTACTTTTGAGGCATAAGCAATTCGTAAATAAGACTTACTACCCAGGAACAAAACCCAAAAAATGGTTACACATTGTTATCTATCATTATCGTGCAGCCATGATTCCTTGTCGGATGAAAGCCCCTCCAAGCCATTGCTATTCATCATGTCGCTCCTGCCCAGTATCTGATCTCGCGGTTCGGCTGCGGTGAATGTCTGATAGGCCATGCTCCCTTCGTTGGTGGCCTCTCCCGTGATTAGTTGAACCACACGTATTTATACATCGCAGTAAATGTAGGGTTGGGGGGAGGGGGTCGGGAAAACAACAAATGATCTTTTTAGCGTCATGGACTGCAGAGGCAAGTTATTTTAGCGAGCACATACCAAGGCTGGCGCGACACTCACATGAAGGTGGCTTTCTCCAATGCTCTTGTCACACATTGCATCAAGTGCTCATTGAAGGCTGAGTTGAACTATGAGAGGCCCAGGACAGGTGTAGATAACACTCGTCACTGATGTTATCCACAATGGCGGAGCCAGGATTTTCAAGTAGGGGTGGCAACCCCTCCAGCAATGAAAAATGATAGGAGTTGTTAGTAAGTAAGGACTTGTCCCTTGCTTTTCATTCGACTCGTGTGCGGCGATGGCGCAGCCATCGATCGAGGGTCGAATTCGAACCGTGTGTGATCGGCATCGCGCTCGCTGAAGGTGAATGCCTTCAGGGAATTCGTGTACTGTGTATGCAACTGCGCACAATTCTGTGAGTCACTTATAACTGCTTTGCCGTTACTTATTGCCAATTATGGACTCAGACTATTATCCTATCATCTCATAGAGTCCCTGGCACGTAATAATATGCTACACATTGGCAGTGGGGGATTTATTTTTTATATCTATATATATATAAAAGGGAAATTTGTGAATATGTGTGTCTGTTTGAAATGTTTAGCATACTTCCCGGCATGCAACAAATTTGAAATTTGGCATGTGGGTAGCTTCCAGACTGTACACGATGCAAAATGTATAAAAATAAACTTTTGTATTTGGGGGGGGGGGGGGGGGGGGGGGGGGGGCGCAATAATGGATATATTTTGCACGTCAAGTGAGCGGTGACGTCACATCTGTGATGTCACCCGCATGCGGCAGCGTCACGCAGTGTGCCTGCTGACGTCACGCATTCCCCCCAACCACCCCCCCGCGTAGGCCGTGTATTTATCCAAGACAAGAATCCAAGCCCCGGGTGAAGCCGGGGAGTAAAGCTAGTTGCTAATAAACCCCAATGTTCCGATTGAAATTAGGGATTTCGATTGGATCATTGGGGGGGCACGTGCCACCCCCCACTGGCTCCGCCAGTGGTTATCTATAGCCAGAAATGTACACATAAAAATGCATATGCACGTGTGTACAAAGACCTTGTAAGACTACTGGGATAAGTACTGCTCGTGCACACTTATTAAGGCTGGCACAGCACTCAAGGGGGGGGGGGGGGGGGGGGGTGGATCATGTAGTCCACATTGCGCCTGGGTCATCTTTATCTCCGCAGGTCACCAGGATTTATCTGCACCAGTTATTTCTCAGTTGAGGTCACGTTGACCTGCGGGAGACCCAATCACAGTTTCAGAAATAACTCTGCCGATGACTGACTGTCTCTTTCCGTATTTAAACATCACTAGTCTGGTCTCATTTCCCCAGGATGCCCATAATCCCATTTGTTCTATACAGCATCTTGAAATGTAGTTACATTTAGATTATGTTTAAATGCAAACTGTATAGTTAATCTTCTTGGTTCTTTCGGTAAAGTCACGTAGAAGGGAAATAATAAATATAAAACGTAACATTTTTGTTAAATTTTTTTTACCGAAAGAACCAAAATGATGAATTCCTGCAGTCACGAAAGCTTTAAATCGAAATGTATAGTTAATGATATCCATCGTTGGGAATCAAACCTAAGTCAGTGGAATCTCAGTGTAGTGTGTTGAGCATTTCAACACTGCTTCCCTCGCCTCCCCCCAATGTGTATGCGTGTGTGGGGGGGGCGGGAGGCACACGCACACACATCGCTCGCACACACATGTCGAAGTGCGAGTGGAAACATTCCCGTATAAAATGAAATCTTTTTACTAGTGTCAAAGTATTAAAAAATAAGAATAGATTTTACCCTTTCTGGCAATAAAACAGGTGTTAAGATGTTCAAACACCTAATGGATACCTTTTGCAAGGAATCAACCACACGTACTTGTGGTGAACATGCAAACAAACATGCTTGGATAATATATGCATTGTCTTTGATTAAACCCTATTCGCCCTGCAGCCCATGGACCATCGCTGCCGTTTCCTCTCGGCAAAAAACCCCATCGTAGAATAGAAGTAGGAACCATTCTGCATGTGCCGGTATACACGATGGGTTTTCTGAAAAGTGGCTGTATGGCGTACAGCCCACTTCAGTCCATTTTGGTCCATTTCGACCACTCCTGCAGTTCTGAAATTATGAACGTATGTTTCTTATTGTCTCTGTGTGATATCTACGTATTATAATTCTCAGTTTAAAACAATTAGCTTGAGCTCTATCTGAATAGGCACATCGACAGTTAATTGCATTGTAATTACACCGCAGTTAACATTTCACGGACGCGAAATCACTGTAAGCTCATGCTTACTTCACAGACACGATATTACCCGAACATTAATTAGCTATAACTAAGTACTCATTACATGGAGATAATGCTAAATTATCCTTGCTATGGATCATTAAAATAAAGCTAAACCGCTAAATTAGCTTTCGTGCAGTAATATGAATGGTGATATTGTTTTAGTAATTGTTCGGTGATGGTTCAGCGTTAACCCGCAATATCTTTTCTCTGTGATTCTTGTTTTACAGGCCCGCAGCCCCCGTATCCTGTGATGTAGCTCGCCGGAGCTGATTTATGTGAACTACCAAGTACTCCCTGGGCTTTGCGGGGAATTCAAAATTACGACCTTGAATCACACGGTGGCCTGTGCTACATTTTATGTGGCGTTACCCCCAGCAATGTTTATTGTGAAAATGTTTATACGCTGTCCAAGTGTAAGAATTGTTGCGTCGAATTTTTTTTTTTTATTGTGCAACGGAGAGATTTTTTGCAAGTGTCGCTTCGTCTGTAAGCTAGCTGCAGTTATTTTCTTAAACGCCGCACAGCTCAACCATTTTATAAGCACCTTTATTAAACGTATGTGAAGTACTGTGCTCAATTACTGTTCGAAACGATTAAAGCTGGCTGAATTGCATTGCCATCCATTGTCCACCTACTGGTAAGATTGGTACACTGCTGTGAATTGATTGGCAGATTTCTCACAGTGGGGTAAAATCTTGATTGGTCTTCTTCCTCTTTTACGTCCTTAGCGAGTGTGGGATATTGGGCTGGACGTGAACGCTTGCAGAGCGTGTATCTTCTCCGCTGTGTGCAGCAAAAAAAAATCACCCAAAAATGTCAAGTTATTAATGGATTTCATTCATATTCTGGCAACAAAATGCAGAAATAGCACCGCTTTAATGTCAAAGGCTTTCTACACGGAGGGTGCATCATTTGCAGCTTTTGATGGTTTTGTATTTGATTTTGCTCCACAGTATTTAGCTTTTGATTGGATTTTATTCTGTCAAAGCTCGATTAAGCAATCGCTGCTTATGTAGCTGATCTTCCAACCTGAATCTACCATCTATTTTTTTTATCCATCTCAAAGAAGTTTTATGGGAAACAAAGCAAATGTATGTACTGAAAAGCAGTACAAATATATTTTAAAAACACACGAGTAAGAGTAACACGTCCCTTTTTTGAAATATTTATGTTTGCCATGGTTGCAAATTTATATATTTTTTAAACTGAGGTCTAATGCCGCATGTCAATGGAAAGGGTTTTTGAAAATTCTCACCAGAGCTATTGTTTGATTTGGATGCAATGCTTTGTTTTCGTTGGCTTCACTCGTTTTGTAGTAATTTATTATTTATTGTCGCATCATGTTTGTGTTTTGCGCATGTTTATTTATACATTTTTTGCCGTTTTGTTTCTATTTTTTAGCATAGTTTTTAATTTTGCTTTGCATAAAAAAATTATAAAAGCCAGCTGCTGATGCTCAAAATAAAATAATGCAAAAAGAAAAATGATTTCTTCTTGAAATATGGATATCACTGCTTTGCTCACAAAGTGGAGGAGCTTATTGCATGAAGCATATTTTACAAAGAGCCTTGGCAGCTCTTGACATGCTTGTGTAATCAAGAACAGCAATGTATTGAAACTGTGCTCTGCTATGGTGAAAAAAAGTCAATGATTGTTACATTTATGGTTCAAAATGCATGCTTTAGAAAGGTAAAACAAAATTGCATCATTGTACTGATAACAGGTTTATTATAATAGGCCACAGGTTAACAGGTTAAGATTTGACAATACAAATGATTTCATCTCTCGTACGTGAAAGCTGAAATATATATTCAGTGCTGTGTGATGTCTGCTTATGTTGGCCCTTAAATTATAAACTGCGCCAATCTGTTCATAGTGCCATGTGTTTTGGGAGGTATCATTACTGCGTTCTTATTATATTTATACACGTATAAAAACATGATGGTGCTATGCACGCTTGTACTAAATTATTACTTGAACGCCGTATGGGCTTTTTAATCAAGCGTTGTTAAGCCGTGTGATAACAGTTGGTTTGTTAGACCGCTGTCGTCTGCCATCTGTATAAATAACAAACAATTATTGAGCTGTCTATTCCCAAAGGGGGCTGTTGCACCTTCACTTAACAAGGCCGTCATTGCCCATCTGCATGGCACACTCTGCTCTTTCAATCTTGTATGCACAGCGATTTTAACGTTAAAGTTATTTAAGCTACATATTTTTTTATTATGTTTCCAATAAAATGTGTTTTTGTCCTTATCCACTCATGCTAGACCCCAGTGGTTCTATACTTGATTCACAGTGAGTGGCTAGGGAGGGAAGACAATTAAGGTGCCCGTTGGTGGGAGCTAGGCCTGCCTGTAGGCGCACAGTATGATTTGAATCACTCTCCCGTGTTCCTCCACACATTCCTAATGTGCCCCACATATGCCATTGGCTCCTTCACTTATACCACTGCTCAACAATGTTTTTTTTTTAAACATGCCACCAATATTTGCAGAACGCAAGCCTGTACACGACTCAGCTGTGGGTGGTAGAGAAAAATGGTCAGAACAAAAAAAATGGTTTGCAATTAAAAACAATGGGTTCAGTCATTTTGCACAAATCAATTTCATTTTTCATGGACATACTCATGTGATGCAAATACAATTATTCTTAAAAGAAGGCATATTTAATACAGTATTCATATTACACATGGTCCTGTAATTCATATTTTTCAAAACATGTGTATAATGTCTCATTGTGGTACCTTATCAACCGAACAGCTTTTAAAACATGTTGTTGGATGTCAAGAGTTTAGACTTTTAGAATTGTGAAAAAAAAATGTTATGCATTATTTTTTTAAAGTTGTATTTAAAAGCGATGTGTCATTTGTACCCAAGTCAGGATGTGTTCATCTCATTAGGGGAGGAATTTACATTAATTAATCGTCTGGGGGATTATCCCTATGTTGACACAAGCTGCTGATGAGATTCATCTCATCTCCTAGCACAAGGTATGTCAAAATTTGCATATCCGCAAAGCTTTTTCATGTGAAAATGTACAAATCCCAGAGACAAATAGTTTCACATGCGATGAACACCTTAATTTGCAGCAATTATTTAAGATCATTAAAATAAAGCTTCACCAACTCGCACTGACCAGCATGGCAAAGTATGGTCAAAATATCATGGCCCTTAAACCATGGACAGGCCCTCATCCAGCAGTGGATTGGCAAATGGATGTACGTGTACAAGGAAGTATACTGTATATCTAATCTAATTTATTTAACGCCTTCACTCAGGGCACTTGACTTAGCTTGAAAAACGATGACAAAATAGAATTATGCAGTTGACGGGCATAGAAGGATTGAGGAATGAGTGACAGCGATACAGGGTACTTAGGGATCACGGAAGGGGAGGAAATAGAATGGGCACTAGAGAAGAGGAAAGCTCTCTGTGTGTCTCTCCCCCATGTGTGTGTCTCTGTGTGTGTCTCTCTCTGTGTGTGTTTGTCTCTCTGTGTGTCTCTCTGTCTCTCTCTCTCTGTGTATGCGTCTCTCTCCGTGTCTGTGTATCTTTGTATATGTGTCTCTCTCCGAGCTTGCATTCATTCACACCTGATGACGGTTGCTTGTGTTGCAATCGAAACGTCATATTCTATTATTTATTTTCTTTTCTTTCTACGTGACTTTACCGAAAGAACCAAAGAGTAAGTCCTGAAGTCACGGAAGCTTCAAATCAAGAGGAAAGATTTAAAAGAGGAATGGAATGAGGGCAAGGATAGGTGCAAGATGGGAAAAAAAATCCGAAAACACGATTGGGCACAGGGAAAAAGAGGAACACAAAGAGACAAGATTCAGAACGAAGAAGACGAGAGAGGACATGGAGATGAGAGAAGCAAGATAAGGTGTGGGGCAAGGCCATGTATAGATTTAAAGTCGAGCATCGATATTTAAAAAGTCAGCGGTGTAGTAAATGGGAAGCCAGTGGAGTTTAAGGAGGAGAGAGGCGAAGTGCGGGAATTAAGGGGGAGATTGAAATTAACTCGTGCAGACGCATTTTGAATTTGTGGGAGGGGAGTGAGGGCAGAAGCAGGGAGACCAAGAAAAAGATAATCACAGTAGTCCAGACGCTTGAAGATCAAAGAATGAACCATGAATTTGGTGGCAGAAATTTTAATGAGAGGGCAGATTTCCCTGATCTTGAATAGATGAAAGCGGCAGATGCGAGTTGTAGTAGAGATATGGGTGGGGAAAGTGAGGGAAGAGCCAAAGGTGAGACCAAGGTTGAGGGCAGAAGAAACATGAGAGATAATGGTTGTGATGAGAAGAGAAGAGTGAGAGGCTGGAAAGAAAATTATTGACGTTTTGGAAGTATTAAGAGAGGGAGTGAAGTGCCATCGAGGTTTGGATGGCATGGTATGAAAATGAAAAGCTTAAATTTAATGGGAAACATTTCCAATTCTCGTGTTACTTTTATTGCAATACGTTTCACAATTATGGAATTTAAGGAAAGTCTAACGTCACCATTATTACATACACTGACTAATGATGTCTTGAAAATGGATCATTATTAACCCAATTTTTTCATGTTAATATCTGTGCTGATATTCGAATGCTGAACAGGTGTAATAAAATATGAATGGACCTTAATTTTAATGTGACCACCGGTTATCAAATAGCGCAATATGATCTTTAATGTCTATAGTGAAGACACTTTAAAGGCGGAACCTTGTTTTAATAATTATAATAATACAATTTGTAACGCGCGCAAATTTGCAGACGTAGTGGCCGCAACTCAGAGGCGCGGAGCCAAGCTCAGGGTCACTCAAAAGCATGATTGTAGAGGTGAGTTTTTAAGTGTCTCTTGAAGGAGGCGATTGAGGTGATGCTGCGAATGTGCAGAGGGATATCGTTCCAGAATGTTGGGGCTGCCACCGAGAAGCGGCACGTAGACATGACCATCCTAGATCTTGGTATCGAGAGGAGGTCGTGAGTCGCGCTGCGCAGGCATCTGCCGTGTGCTGAGCTGCAAGTTGTCAATAATGAAGAAAGATACGGCGGGCAGGCGGATATGAAGGCATTGTGGCAGAGGCAGGCGGTCTTGTATGTGACCCTACTGGCAATGGGGAGCCAGTTGAGAGCGCGGAGACGAGCTAGTGAGTCGACTTGAGATGCAATGTCTTGTACTGCAGGGTATAACCAAGCAAGCACTGTGCAAGGGATTCAGTTTAGAATCCTCCACATCCTCTAGGAGCAAGATTATAACGCATGAGGTGGCACAAGTTCAGCATCTGAGATATGACAAAAACAATTTCAATTTGTCATTTACAGCATTTTGTCAATACGTTGACAGATGCAGACCACCTTATGCCATATCGGTTATGGGGTTTGTCTGACCATACTTCTATATGCTGGTCAGTGTGGGTTGGTCATGGGTGTGCCCAAGATCAGTTCAGATATCACTGTCCAGGACTACAACTCTTAAAAGAGGTATGCTTATAGATCTACTGCTGTGTGCAACGATGCACCGAGTCAATAGTTAATATTGATCTTGAAGCTCATAGTGCTTGCATTGAATTTCATGTGTAAGAACGATTGTGTGGTTTTTTTATTGTATACGTTACAATTAATGGGTTGATGTGGCCCATGCAACTGCTACTGTTGATGTAGTAAAAATGATTTATTCCTGGAATTAAATCCTGGTGCTGAATTGTGACAATAAAATCGCCGAGGGGAATGCATCGATAATCTCGAATATTCACGTCTACAGTAGCGATAATTCAGTGGTTAGAACGTTTGCGAAAGTGTGCACAGTTATTAATTTGCCAGATCATGATCCGAAAATAGCTTTATGTGCTTGCATACTCATTAAATATTTCACATTGAATCTGACAGTAATTGCCTTTCAAGTGCTCTTACATGCATAGTATTTATTAATACATCAATAACCAGGCAGATGCTGATGGATGTGGACTCTGAATGTTTGATATGTGATGGATTAAAGTGTGTAAAACTTTATTTTATGGGTACGACTATTAACAACAATTATTCCCGTAGTGGAAGAATTAAAAATGAAAGCAGTTGCTCTTGCAATCAACGTTTAACGTTAAATGTGTTGTGTTTTAATTGTATTAATTTTGCCGGACATATACAAATTATACCCTAGTACAGTAATTCTATTTATCCAACACATTGCACCAAATATTGTTAGAAAATCTGTGTGGGGATAATATGGCCAATTTTTGTTGCATACATATTTGTCAGTGTGTTAGCTATGCCTATTTCAATATTAGAGATATAAGGATAACTCTATTGAAAAGTACGTCTTAGAAACAGGTAATTGCAGTGCTTAGTCTATTACATATTATAATTCTAAATGCCATCCAAATATATATTCAGTGAAAAACAGCAGTGTGCAGTCTTGAAAATAACGATCAAGAATATATACTCTTATATAAGCGCACAACTTTAGCTATCTGTGATGAACGCTGCACTTTCCGTCGTTTTCATGCAGGGGGAGCTGCAAACCTACGCGCCCCCTGCATGAACGACGGAGGCGCAGAGACAGACGTTTGATTACGTTGGAATCGATCTGCAGACGGCGGTCTTCTCGCATGGCCAGCTCGATGTCGCCTTATTTCAATCCCGCCATCCCAAACAGGTGAAAGTCCGCATCGAACCGAACCCCCAGCAAGGCCATCTACTTAACGACGAGAGAAAATTCACACAAAACGTCCTTTTCAATTAAGTTTTCCAGATGTAAAATGGTATAAGCTTTTAATGAAGAAATACAATTATCAAAGTCAAAACATAATACAATTCAAAGATGTTTCATTTTTAAACTTCAAAACAGAGCATCGGGTGCTTGCGTGAATGCGTCGTTCATGTGCAATTTTTTTGGTGAAATGGTTGTGAACAACCCCGAGTTACTACTATAACGAGCCAAAAATGTATGTTTGTAACGCGTGTGACGTCACTCCACATGCCACACCCCCCATCATTAATATTCATGAGTGGGTGACGTCACTCCGCATGGAGAACCCCGCTCATTAATAATCATGAGCAGGTGACGTGACTCCACATCGAATAGCCCCCCTCATTAATAACCATTATAAGGTGACGTCCTCCAAATGGACACCTCTCCCCGACATTCATAATAATTAGCGTCACTCCACATGGGGGACGAGGCGCCTCCTCCACCCTCCTCGGCGTCAACTCATAACCCTCACTACAAAGGCAGAACCCTCACGTCACGTGGTCTCCGTCACGCTGTTGTTGAGACATCGAAGTAAAAAGGACGTCATGATGAACAAGGGATTATAACCTTTAAATGAAATAGGTCTGTGTCACCGCGCCATTGACAAATTGCACACGAATTGATGCAATTAATATATCACGTCGCGGTCTGCTTTTGGCTTGCAAGTTTCAGATTTACTGCAATACACCCGTACATTTATATTGTTATATGTAATTTATTGATCTCATAGTGTTTAACTATTCCATTTATATTCCAACTAGCGAAAGGCTAGTTGGAATATAAATGGCATAGTTAAACACTATGAGATGAAGAAATTACATATAACAATATAAATGTAATCATTACATTTAAAATTATCAGCGCTTGGCCAACCAACTGCTGGAAGAAGACATTCAAATGCCATGCTCATGATGGGAGCTGTTTGACCATACTTCACCCCGCTGGTCAGAGGATGGGAGGTTAGGGGAGGGAAAATGTAGGACCAGTTCAGGTATCAGTGAATACTACTGTTAGCCAAGACCAGGAGTCGAACTTTGGTCACCATGATCATGATGCGTGCAGTGCACTAGCTACTATGCGACTGCACCACCTAAATGTTTCAGGGGCCGTCCATAAATGACGTCACACGATTTTGGACGATTTTTGACCCCCCCCCCCCCTTCGTCACACGGCATCACAAAAAGTCAGACCCCCCCCCTCAAATATGACGTCACAAAGCTCTCCCCCCCCCCCCCAAAAAATAAAACATGCTTCAAATCGCTTTAAACTATTGTCATTGTAGTGCGGATTTAATGTGGCGCTGCACTTGTATGAGAAAACATTTATTAAAAAGTCTATTTAATTAAGTAGAACGTGTTGTCTATATTTATTTAAAGTTGCGCATTTTAATGTGACGTCACATTTCGCAAACCACCCCCCCCTCGTCACACATCGTCACAAATGTCTGACCCCCCCCCCACCCCTAGGTGCGTGACGTCATTTATGGACGGCCCCTAAATAAAATAGAAAAGAATCCGTTGGAAAATTAAAACCACGTACTGTAGTCGGACAACTAATGATGCTTCCATGAGGACATAGATGCCAACATGTTATTATTTTTCAATGAAATTTCCATCGGTCATAAAAGTATGAATAATCACTCAACATCATATCCCACCTGATGACGATTGCTTGTGTGGCGATCGAAACGTCGTGTTCTATTATGTTTTCTATCCACGTGACTTTACCGAAACAACCGGTCACGAAAGCTTCAAATCAAGATTGAACATCATATGAGTAAATTTCGATGTAAAGCTTTCGTGACTGCAGGGATTAATCTTCTTGGTTTTTTCGGTAAAGTCACGTAGAATGGAAATAATAAGCAAGCAGCCGTCCTCAGGTGGAGAACAGGTCTGTCCACCTGAGGACGGCTGCTTGCGTTGTGGCCAAAACGTGAGAATTATTTTATTGTTTTATTTTTATTATTTCCATTCTACGTGACTTTACCGAAAGAACCAAGAACATCATACGAGTAGCTTTAAAGGACACCGGTTATAGCATTGTATTTCTATTTATTGGCCAGCCATTCACATTTTAATGAGCATTTTTAACAAAAGTTGTCAAAATAAGTGAACGGCCACTGAGAGTCTTGAAAATCGTGGAAACTACACACAATAATGGAAACTCACTTAATGCATTGCTCGCGAAATTAACTCTGCAGCTTGCGTTAATCGTTGTATTTTTAAAATCCTTTATATTAAGTTCACTTGCTTGCTTTCTTGCGCACTTACGACCGTGCAAATCTTTCGGTCGTTTTTTAACCCACTTACCGTGATCCAATCGAGCTGACATTTTGCACACAGACTCGTTGTGCGTGACAATTTACACTTTTTAGGAAAAAAAATGATATTTAATTACCAATTGCTCAATGGTGGCAGGCAATCATCTGACCCAAAGGTGGCAGCCATCTCAAGCCAGAGGACGAGAAGACTCCCGTTTCAAAGACCAATGTGGGCTGGGTTGTGGCCCATTGAACACGCATATAAAGGATTTATAGTGAAAAACTTTGTTTTTACGGGTTAATTTTTTGATACTCCTACTGATGCTCCTGCTGTTGTGGAGTGACTCATGCAGCCAGCTATGGCTACAGGGGTTGGTAGTACGTGTTGTTTACGTCGTTTATTGTGAAATTTCGGTCACAGTTTATATGACCACTGTTACATTGCTTATGGCTTTATTTTGGTGATTTCGAAAAGTTTTTTTGGTTTGGCCATGTTTGTTTGTTGTAGTACGGAGTAAGACTGATGGCCTTAATCTAAGTTGTGTTGTGGTTGTTGTTGTTGTTGTTTGACTTGCATCCCACTGGGATTTTTGCACAGCGTTCGTGTACGGTGCTTTTTTTCTGGAAGACTTTGCAGTTTTTTCCTCGATTTTTCTGTTTGCGCATAGTCACTTGAAGATGTTTTCTTGTTCATGTTTTTATTTTTTGTTTTGTTGCGGTTGCACCCGATTCAAGAGCCGAATGGCTCACGGGGCTATACCAAATAAATGAAACTGAAAACTGAAACTGCATTTCTCTTTCACCATTGGGGCAGAAGTTGCAATTTTGGCCACGTGAACTTAAGACCCCACCAGGAGTAAACAACAACAACAACAGCAGCAGCAGCAACCAGAAGTCTGTGACAGAGGCTTGTTGTTACATGTGAGGTGGGAGGGGACCCGAGGGTGGGAGGAGGTACCGGGGCGCAGCTTCTTTAACGCACTCGCACCGAGGTTGTGGCCTCGGTCCACTCCTGGCCACGTGCAGCGACGTCGACCAATTGGCGCGCGGCGAAATTTCACGGAGCGGAGTATTGTGGGTAGGAAAGCACCACCCCACCAACCCACCCCACTCACCACCGAACGCCTGACGGCGGCTGTGCTGTGTCGGCTCCTGTCGTGGATGCAACAGCAACAGCGGCAGCGGCAACGAGGGTTTCCCACCCTCTTCCCAGGCAGCTTTCGCGAACCTTTCGCGGGATTAGGAGGAGTAGGAGGAGGAGGCCGACCGTGTGCGTGAACGCCGCTCGGATCCGAAGGGTGCGCGCCGGGGTTTTTTTTACGCGCGGCTCGGGAGGCGGTAAGAAGCCGTTTTGTCTTTTCTCAACAAGCTTCATAGTTTTTTTTTTGTGGGTCGGTGGCTTCTTTTCTCTGCTTGTTGTTTTTTGCTGTGGTGTTCAGACGTGGCATCTCAGTCGAGGGATCTTTGGACCGTGAGCTGCCTGGGCCCCCCCCCCTCCTGCTTGCTCTCTCCTCCCTCCATCCATCCTCCTGAGATGAACAACGACAAAATTAATTTGTCACCAAATTGATTCTTTTAATTCCCGGCGTCTTGCTTTGCTCGCTGTCACAACTGTGCTGGCGTTGAATGAAGGGGGTCTCTCGCCACCCCTCGGCTTAGAGAGAAGGCTGCAGTGGAGGAAGAGGAGGAGAGAGAGGCGAGTACAGGGGAGGGTGGTGGCTTGCCTGACTCCCTGGCCGGATTAGGTGGGGCAGAAAGCAGCTGAGCGGTTAGAGACCACATCCCTCCCTCCTCCTCCTTCCCTGCCCGCATGCTTGTGATAGCATCTTGGGAATAATGTTGAGGATATTAGCGTGACACTTGAACAGATGACGGCCTGTGATTCTGGTAGGTCTGTTTTCCACACTTGGTGGCTGACCTGAGCAGATACCAGTTGGCTGTGGCCGCTGCTGCCATGGTCACAAGAGGGCCTGGCAATGAGATTTAATTATGTGTAGCAGCCTCGCTCCCTGCCTCGGTGAACATTTGTCCAGGTGCACTATTTGTGCAACCGTGAATGCATTGTGTCCCAACATTATTTCGTGAAAGCGGCGCGCACAATGATTATTGCCATCGTTGTGTGCACCGCTTAACACGGTGCCATTTGGATTAAAATGTCCACGTTTAAAAGTGTTACATTTGAAGACACGGCGCAAAGAAATGTTAACCATTCGTCGCCGACACATTCTGGTGCGAATTATAACTTAATGTTTTACTTGGCCCTTGATTGAAAGACAAACGTTCGTACATTGATTTGGTCAATTTTAACGTGACACTACTTTTCCTCTCTGCTTTCAGAAGATGCTGAGTTGACATCCTCTCCCGTCAGTCGCGGTGCAAGCACAGCAGGAGGAGGAGGGTGGTGGTGGTGGTGCAGCAGCAGGAGGGACGGGGGCAATAGTGAAGGAGCTCCCAGGATTCTGTGCTGCCCAGCTGTGAGAGAGACGGGCAACCGTGAATAAATAAGCAGAGGGCAGCAAGGCAAGAGGTTGGTACAGGGGGGGGGGGAGGGGTGTTAAGGATGTACAACAGCTCTCGCACGGTGACCGGTGGAGATGGTGGAGGAGATCCGGGCTCAACTCGATCCCCGCGTCTCCCGCGCTCACCAAGACTCGGGCATCGCCGCACCAACAGCAGCGGTGGCAGTGGCGCGGCGGCTGGCGGCAGTGGGAAGACCATGTCCATGGAGAACATCCAGTCCCTGAACGCAGCCTATGCTGCCTCGGGGCCGCTGTACCTGGGCGAGTATGACGGCCCCGGTGGTGTAGCCGGAACCTCTGCCGGTAAGGGGTTCACCAGCCACAACCGCTCGCTCGCTCACTCACTCGCTCGCTCACAAGCAACAGAAACTCAACACGTTCGTTCAAGAGGGAAACGTATATGGTTGGTGTCAATTAAGGCCACTGGGCTCTTCTTCTTAGAGAGGACAGCAGGATGACGATGTATGTTGTGCTCTTTGGTCATTTGTTTAATTGTCAAACTACAGTACTTATTACTGAAACCGGAGCTTTGCTTCCCTTAAGATTCTATTAATATTTTGATTGTACGCTATTGTGGTTTTTTCATATCTTATTTTTTTTATTGCGCACTTTTCTTTAATGTTTGTGAGCCAGGTTTCTCTTGAGAAAGCTGTTTAGTCTCAGTGGTCTGTCATCTTATTTAAATAAAATTTTATACTATGAATAATGATATAGCTCTTAACATAATCGATTGCTATATAGTAGTTAGAGCACAATTGTAGATGTATGGAGCACAACATTATTTGACATTAGTAAAGATTAATATTTAGTGTAATTTTTTAATCTCATTTTGGATCAATTGAATTTTGAAGCCGTTGAACTCAGAAATTCAAATTTTAACAATTTAATTTCACTTGTTGCTTTTACATTAGTTTTTTTTACGCGAAAACGTGGTCACTATCTTCAGTGGTTGTCGAATGTAGAAATACTGTAGTGAAAATAATACATGCAATTTACGGATTTTAAGTCCCATTGTAGTTTCATGCTGGTACGTTTTGGCATGCGGTCAAATGTGTGCACATTTTCCAAAGTGTGGCAGAAAAAATAAATAAAACAATTGTTTTTTTTTACCAGTAAACCTTAATGTTTGCATAACCATTTGGCATACAGCTATATGTCACAAGCCTTCCTTACATAATTTGATTAATTTAACAATTGAAGTATTATTAAAACTTAGAGTTTAAACATGTCACGTTTCATCTACATTCATTTGTTTTTAATAAAGCCACTTAAGATGGCAAATGAATGCCCTCCCTGACGAATAAAGGCATATTCACCAATAATGTACCGACTGCATATGTAGCGCAGTTTAAAATGTAATACTCGGTCATGTGTAGGTTCAAACCATCTGCTAATGAATGTCACAAGAATGACGTGACCCAACAGTCAAAATATACAAGTCTGTAGCAAATACATGGTAGGTTATATCTGTACGCAAATGTACTGACGGCTCCTTTTGCCCGCTAGATTTTATTTAACCTGTTCTTGTTTGATAAACACGTCTGTGGCTTCCAACAAGCAATTGGCCATTACTGTTGGTGGCATTACGAGCGTGTCGTGTGGGAAGGTTAAATTCTGCCACCCCCGTTGAAAACATTTCAACGGCCTGACAATGACTAGCATTTGTAGCTTGCTATTTTTATTAAGGCCTCTATATTTAGGAATTTGTAGAATGGAATGCTGCGGCCAAACCTCAGCCCGCGATGCCCTGCAACATTTTTACGTGTCTTGTTTGAGCATAAATACATTGCATTAAAATGTTTCGACATTTTTAGTAGCCGGCTTACCGAAGTCAACGATGACACTAGGACGACCGATGGGCGGCCCGGTGAGTTCGGTGCCCCGGCCCGCTCCGTATGGCCTTCGCATGACTGCCATGGGCAGCAGCCCCAACATCGCTTCGGCCGGCCTTCCCGGTGGGGATGCCATCATCTTTGGAGAGAATGACCTCGCCTACAGCATGGGTGCACAGGTAACTACAACATCACATACATATTTTGCACCGTGAGTATGACACTTATCAAACGCCTGCACTCCCATAATTCCAGCCAGTTTTTTTTCTTCATATTTAAGCACCATGTAAATGTATAATTATGCCAGGGTGGAATGGTTAGCGCACTGGTTCGACTTGATCTTCCGGTGCGACAGTTGAAAAAAATGGGCAAGTTTCATTAATTGCGCCCCCCCCCACGTCCCGTACATTACGGTTAGTAGATGAGGAGTAGGTCACACTTGTGGTGTGTACCTTATGCTCCCGCCTCCTCCATGATGTCTGGCCAGTGTGGAAGGGTAGGCCAAATACCCACTAATGGGGCTCACATGAGCTTGCTCTAGTGAAATACCTTCTTGGCAGCAGAGGCGCGAGAGCAAGTGATTACAGTGCTGCAACCTGTAACATTTATATGATTCTTGATTCAGGATCGTCGACGTTTCTGGGTGGCCTTGAGGCACTTATAGCTTATTGGAGCACTGATCCTTTACTCCTAAGATCCTTGGTTTGACTCTGAGTTTCAGCCACCCATACTTACACTGTATCCTCAAGTGTAGCATGTGTATGGTCTCAGCCTGGTCACAAATGACCATTTAAAATAGCCATTACATGCAATTTAGTTTTCACTTGATTTGTCTTATTGAAACATGTGAGAGGCACAAGAATATGTATTTTCATGCGTCCTCTATTGCAAGGCATGAGTCTCCTGATGTGGACCGAGGCATTTGAAGGGACCTCAGAAGAAATGCTTTGACATCAGCTTCCAGGGATCGTAATCTAACATGAGATGATGTTACACTGCTTTTTGCAAAAAATATAAATGTAAATACATTTGTCTCATAAACATGATGCCAATAACATAATTAGAATTGGAATATAATTAGTAAAACGAGATTGATTTTGGAATATTTGGTCAGCTTCAATAATATCTGAGTTAATTTAAGTATACAAGAAAATAACACTCGAAGCTCCTCGCAAACCTTCTTGCTTTACTGTTTCCTGCAAGCAACTTGTTATGATCCACTGCCCATGCCTATCAGCTGCTTGAATAAACATATAAAATAATAACAACGGTGCGAAGGATATTTTACAAGAGAATAAAGTGTTTAATACTTCTTTAACAAGTTCTAAAGCTTATCAAGTCAGGTCCAGGAAGAGGGTGACCGTGGCTCCTGAAGCAATTAACCAGGGCACATCTCTTTTGGTGGCCCCTAGCCAGAGGAGAAATTCTACATTGCCATGGCATGGGCCAGTATGACGTTACGAACACAACGAATGTCGAAGTGGACAATTAAAACCCCTTTTTTCCATCTTCCTCATCTGTCGAAGACCTGTCATTGCAGATGAATAGACAGGAAGTCCATTTATAATGCATATGTGTATATATATAACAGACAGGAAGTCCGTTTCTCAACATGAAATAAATGTGTTCTCTTATGTTTTTTTCCGTTGGCGAATGCCTTTCCGGACTAGTATTTTCGACAATAATTTATTTAATCAGGCAACCCCTCGACTGATTTAGACGTTCATGGTCTCGTCACCAGTCAAAACCTTTCAGACCATGCGGATGACATAACCATCCCGCAAAATCTCCAAAGTACAGCTGACGCCTAGACTTGACGGGCCTTGGGTTGCCACCTTGAAAGTACAAGACAGCCAAGGCATCTGACGGAAAGAGGACGTAGAATAATCTCGCTTCCAGAAGAGGGGGTTAACTGCACGTTGTCTTGAGTGGGGTATAATTCCGAAATTGATAAAAAAAAAATTGGACTTCTAATTGCTTACCTTTCCTATTCTAGACTTGTGTTGCCTCCGAAACGTCGTGGTTTTTTATTTTATTTTTTATTAATTTTAATTTCATTTTTTACCTACGTGACTTTACCGAAAGAACTAAGAGTATGAATACCTTTCCTATATGTTGCACTCGTATTGTGTTCATGTATTGTTTGTTGTTGTAACGTTCTGACCCGCCCGAACTGGACACCTATTAAAAAGAGCTTTATAGCCCATCCTCCAGTATAAATAAATACTCTGATTACGAACATCTTGGGAAGACTTATATTTTTGCAGGACAGCCACTAAAAAAAAAGAGTGACTATTATGGGTAAACTGGAACAGGTGGTAACCTGAGACGGATCTCTCCCCACCAGGTGCCGGCATCGCTGCGCGGAGTGCGCGAGTGCAGCATGCTGGAGCTGCAGGCGCAGCTCAAAGAGATGCAGCGCGCCAACGAGCTCCTGCGGCGGGAGCTCGAGGTGAAGGAGAGCAAACTGGGATCCTCCATGAGCAGCATCAAGACCTTCTGGAGCCCCGAGCTCAAGAAGGAGCGCGCCATACGCAAGGAGGAGGCATCGCGGATGACCATCATCAAGGAGCAGATGCGCGTCATGCAGGAGGAAACCCAGGTACGTGCGGCAGTGTTAATTAACCTCGCTGTGCTGGTGCCAGGCCCCCCACAGCCCCCCAGCAGATATTATATTTGGGTGCGTTCACCTGACTATAAACATGATGTGATGGACGAATTGCGTAACTTAATTATATCGCAGTTGTGTGAGAGAAGTAGAGCCAATAGACGCTCTTATGTCCCCATTCCATTTCGATATATTGCGTCCGACGACGAGAGATTGTGTGCTGCTCGTAATTTATTATTCATATTGTTTTATTCCACCAGAATTTTTTTTATGACTGTAAGCCTCAATGAAAAAAATTAATAAACTGATTTAAAATAATTTTTAGTGGGGTTATTCGAATGATGAGTCTTTCATGTTTATAAGGCTAGTAGCCATCATCACGCTTGATGAATTACATCCACAAATAGCTTAGTTAACTAATGTGTTCGTCGATGATTTAGGTAACAAAATTAACGCTGGGTATGTGTTCGCTCCAGCATCTGGCCAGCTCTCGGCGTGCTCGGTTACACCTGCGCGGCATTAAACGTATTTTCTCAGCTGTTCCTAACCCATTATTGTTTCTGTAATTACTCTACGAATGCAGGTGTTAGTGTGGAGGAAGGGAGCTATGTCATGAGAATAAATGTTTTTTTAGTTAAAATTTTAAATTAATCGTGTTTAATTTTTCCCCTTTAAATATTTTTATTTCATGAAAACAGGGCACATTTCAGGAGCCTTTTAAGACCTGATTCAGTTCATGGGTCCAAAGGTTTATTGGCTCGTTTGGCTTTGGCTGAAACCAGTTGTTTGCCTTCTCCCAATAACCTGTTTGTAGAGATAAGGTGATGGTGCTGTTGATCAATTGAACATTCAGCCCAGCAGATGACATCAAATAAAAAGCCAATGTTAATAAAAAAAAACAAGGTTCAGGGGTTTGTATTTTCCCTATTTGAAATGGATCTTGTTTCATCAGGCGTGAGACATTTTATATCAAAATACAGCTTAAATCGATAGACCCTTGTTCCGTTTACCGCCAAAGTAAATGTAGAATATTTTATTTTACTGGGTGGCACATTCATAAGTAATGGTTGTCTGCGCATACACACGATCTTACAATTCGTACATGGAATCTGTTTTAATATTTTTTGTATCAAATTTGGAATTAGCAAATGTTCTGACACGAATCATTAATGGCGGGGGGTTGTTTGACAATACTTTACCGCACTGGTCAGTACGGGTTGGTGAAGTATGCCCAGAGTTGAATGGAGCACATTTCATCCCATCTCTTTCGAAAGAACCTGGCTGAGTTTGCGTGCCACATATGCGGTACCCCACTCTACAAGGCTAGAAAGCCTCATCGCCATGGCAACGCAGATTTTAGTTGTTAACACCTGATGATGATGCTGGATGTCATCTCCAAATGAAGCGTGTACAATTTTCGAAGCTTTAGCGTGCTTTTGAACATTCCGGGTTTCTGAAAAACAAACCCATTGGCATATTTGCCCACTTAACTTGATTTGATTGGCTCTTAGCGTGGGGGGGCCAGGGGGCTTATAATAATAAAAAAAATACCTTATACCCACAATCTAATGAAAAGGAAACTCATTATGAACCATATTGCCATCTGTTTTACCTGACAAAGCTAGTCACGGTCAACGAGAACACTTTTTGTAAAATGAATTCTGATAACATTAATGTTCCAGTGGCATCGCATGTGCACTCTGCGGCATACAACCCAAGGAAGCAGCAAATGATCTCATACGCCAAACATATAAGAGCGTAATAACGTTTACAGTCTTGCTTTTGAATGTGAAAATGCTTGTTTCAAGGCACCCCGTGCCTCGAATGCGATAAATCGATGGCAATGTTTAGATGCAATAAGGTGATCGCTGGGCGTGCTACATATAGCGTATGTGATTATTTTTGAACCGCGGGATGAGCTCAAAATTAACCTACGCTTTTTCTTCACTCCTGTTTTATTCAGCAATTTCATTAGCGGGTTCATATTGAAATTTCTTGCCATATGAATAAGAGGTTTAAAAAAGACTGCTGTAATTATTTTTTGTTTTATACGCAGAGCAAGCGGTATAAATTGTGCAAATAAGAATTTCCTGAAAAATATTCGGCCGCGTCATTAAATTAAGATTAGTTTTCAATATAAACTGCATGATTTAAAAAAAAAGATCACTTTTTGTAACATAAAAAAATCATGCCAATATTTCTTGAGTAATGTTGAATTGTATCAATGCAGTACAGCACATTGGTTTTCACTAATTATGCTTACTATCAGTAGCACTTGCATTATTAAATGTTGTAGGCATGTACATTTAGGCACACTCTAATGTGTTGAGATTTGCTCAAACAATTTTTGCAAGAAAAATGGTGATGAATAAAAGCACAGACTACTCTAGTCTTGCCTGTGACTGGTAGGAACCTCCTGGTTACACCAGCCCACAGGGGATTATTGTGTCCGTCCGTTGTGCAGGGAGGGGCTGGGTGGAGAGGGAGGGGAGGGTGGAGAGGGAGGGGAGGGTGGGGAGGAGCTGGGTGGGGAGGGTAGGGCTGGGTGGGGAGGGGCTGGGTGGGGAGGGGCTGGGTGGGTAGGGTGGGGGTGGGTAGGGTGGGGGTGGGGAGGGGGTGGGTGAGGCTGGGTGGAGAGGGGCTGGTCAGCCCGTGATGCCCTGATCAAACTCAACGTTTAACCTACTCACGCCAGCTTGTGCCTGCCCTCACAGTCGGGCATATTTGCGGAATACAGCACGCCGCCGTTGACCCTGGCCATTGACCGAGCAACCCAACGTTCCTACCAGCTCCATTAACCCCCACCCCCCCATTATAAATGCAATTGTCATATTACATAAAAGATTTGCGTCAAACCAAAACTTACATTTTATAAACTCAGAGCTATTCTTTTTTCATCTCATACTATTGAGGAGTAAACCGATGGGTGGGATAGCTCTGCACTATGAACCCATGAGCTAGTGATGTCTGAACAATTCTGGCGCCCCCCACGCTTCACCAATCCACACTGACCAACTGTGTGGTCAACCACCCCCTGCGACTGACAGTCTAGCAGTACAGCGTGTTCGCTCGCAGCTTGTTGTAGAGTTTGCAGAGGTTCACAGTTCGAATCCAGTGGCCGCCCTGATTGCGGGTGTAATTACCGTGATGATACTTCGCGCCATATTCTTCTTCAGCAGTGGACGTTAAATGTCCCGTGCTTTCATTCGCGGGAGTTGGGGCCCGTTTGTGTGCCGGTGTCAAGGTCATAATTTGCCTCTCTCGAAAATTACCCCCAAATTACTCAATTGGGATGATATATAAAACGTAATCATTATCCCTTATGGGTTGACTAATGCCCCAGGTCACTCTTGTACATTAGACTATGCTGGTCACTCTTGTACATTAGACTCTCCTGGTCTCTTGAATTATCATCTGGTGAAACAAGATTAACTTGACTTTATACGATATCGAGCGACCTTCATCTACCAATTGATTGACAATGGGCTGAATATATTAATATTATATTGAGAGTTGGTATATAGAATTCCCTTATTTAACGCCGTACATGCATTCCTGACAAAGGGGGGTTACCTTAAGGAAGTGCTGTACTGAATCACATTTGTGCTATAAAATCAGCCTGCAGTCATCCCATGGCCGGGACAAAGAACCGAGATGAGGGTACGCAACGTTTTGTATCATGCCGCGTACTCTATCTTACCACTCGGCCGCACAGCTCCAGAAAGTAGTTCGTCGTCGACTGCTCAGAAACTGCATTATAACTGCGCGCGTTCCGTGTTATGGGAAAAGTGTTCCCGAATAGAAGAACCGTGTTCTCGTGAATAATAATTCAGCTATTGATATTTGAAGCTTAAACTCGCAAACCAGGGTGGCCAAAAGATGGCAATACAGTACAGAATGTGTATTGAATCAACCTGTGCAGAGGTTTGAGTGTTATCTCCTTGCATGTTTCGTTTGCCTATTCTGGTACTCCAATTTCTCCCACATTTTTCGAAATATTGTTATTGAAATTAATTAAGGAAAAATTGGCCTAACGTCCCCAAATGCAGGACCCTCCTGAAGAACAGAGTCTTGATGCTATAAAGCTTTTCTATATCAACAAGCAGTAATATCGGTTTCTTAAAATGCTTGTTGACTGCCATTTTAAATACTGTCCCATTTAATAGTGGTCCTATAATGAATAAATATTTCCATTATAACACTGCGGTGTGATTGGTTCACTTTTGGCTCCTTAAGAGCCATTTAAGATGTCATTGTTCAACACTTTGACTTATGTCAGTAATAGGCCTTTAATATTTAATTAAGGTGAAAGCCAGTTGGCACGAAATTAAAAATTAATGGTACAAACTGTATTTTTGCACGAACTGTATCAACAATCCTTGTTGTTTCCTTCATGCAGAATTTAGATTTCTTTCCCTTTCTGAAAACATTACCAGGTAATGCAGGGCTTATGTGCATTATCAATAGTATACAACGACCTGTAATTAAAGGTACATTTACAATATGTAACAGTATATATGCTGAAGGTTTTGATTAATAAATAAATGTGTGTATGTGTATATATATTGTATTGTGTCGGAAACAGTGACACAACACGCACTGCATTATGAAACCCGGCTCCCTGGGTTTGATTCCCATCCTATATACTATTTCTATTTTACCAGGTACGGTCCATTGAGCTATATAGCTATTCTTCAGAAGCGACCTTGCCACAAATGATAGTTCAACGCAGTGGCTTACGTTAAAAGTTATAGCAGTCAAATACTCTAAACGCATGTTGATTTTAAATTTGGAGGGAAAAAACGGAGGACCCGGAGAAAAATCCACGCAACCACGGGGAAGACATGCAAACTCCAAATATACAGCAGGCGTCAGGGTCGGGATCAAACCCACGACCTCCTGTATACCAGGCGAGGGAGGCAACATCTCGCACTGCAGTGCCCACGGCTGATGTCGCGAACGGGTTTTGATTCCTTACCCGTACCCGTACCCATCTGCACCAGGGTCGCAAACGGGTACCCGTACCCGTACCCGGCAGTACCCTACCCGTACCCGGCCGGGTACGGGTAGGGTACGGGTATCGGGTACCTGATTGCGACCTCTGGGATGAAGCCATGTTGCAGGCGCGGGTGGGTTGATTTTAGGAACTTGAATTGTGAGAAGAGACAAGACGCTGGGAAATGAGTGACAAACGGTTACTCACCAGTGACTCGCGGCCTACCCGTACCCGGCCGCACCAAGGTCGCAAACGGGTACCCGTACCCGGCCGGGTACGGATAGCCGGGTATCGGGTAGGGTACGGGTATCGGGTACCCGGTTGCGACCTCTGGCCCACGGTTGATGTAAGTGGCAAGTGATATCTCAAAAGGTTCTAGGCCTCTCCTCGGTCAACTCCACCATAAAGTGAGTTCCTCGCTCAGTGTGTAAAATATCAGTCGTGTGGGGAGTCTGAGGCTGCTGGGCGTGGTGCTGGCTACCTCACCACATCATGCGCCTTGCCAGCTTTAATGCGAACAGCGCTTGCCCTAGCAAGTCTTAAAATCTAGACGAAGGATCTTTGTTTACATATGTTCTTTGCCCCCATCTTTTGTCTTGGCTTTCCTCAGACCAGGACACTTAAACAGAATGCAAAGGTTTGTTTCTGTTCTGCAAATGATCAAACATTTGCAATTGCTAACGTACCTGCAGCCTTGAGAAGCACAAGCTGCAGTAGAAGTAGATGTGAACACGTAATAAATGTAAACGCACTACGAAGCGGGTTGAATTTGTGAAGTCAAGTCACCTCACAAAGGTGGGCCGTGTTTGCATTGCTGTTTATTGATCTGGCAGAATTAATGCACACCATTGGCCCAGGCAATCGCATACACCCTTGACATATTTTATTTTGCTCGTATTACTTTATTTACTCTGTCGCAGAGTACATTTTGCAAAATGACAATCCCCGAGGCATGGCAAGGCTACTTTTTCCTCTACTGATAGGGTTGGCTGCTTCTGAAAGCTTTACTTTCATTGATAGACCATATTATTAACGATGTAACATTTTGGAGGTGAGTAATTGACAACATTCACCCTGGACGGTCAAGTGTGCAAATGTAGAATTAATCTAACTAAATTAATTTAAGCCCATGAAGCCTACGCAATTGGATCTTACGTGAATGATTTCAAATGCCACTCAGCAGACTGGACTCCATGTTAATGGTGGGTTTAAATATAACTGGGCGGTTAAATGAAAGCTACGATGTGTTTTTCATCTGTGCCTATATGCTAGTTGTTTTTCATATGTAAAATACTTTGCAGCCATAATCATACATTGTCCTATTAAATACATCATTTATTTGTAATCTCATGATACCATGAGTCTGTTTAACTAAGAGGCTGCTTATAACGTGAAACAAATTGCCTGGGTATGGACGTAAAACATTAGTGAGGCTCATAATGGAAAATTGTCCAGTTGTTTAATTTTTTTCAGCTGTTCACAATACAGTAAATATCTGTCGTATTTTAATGTGCTTCATGCAATGTGTCACTGTCGTCAACCTAACTGGCTTTTAAACAGCAGAGCAGCGCATTCCATCATGTTAGAGAATGGTTCACGGAAGCGGATATCGCAGAGTTACTATTGAGATCCCTTCAAGTAACCTCGAGACCACACAGAGGGAATCGCTTTCCCACCCATGCTGCATGCGAGAACAATGTTTGTCGTGCAATAGTGTGATACTGACATTCATTTATCAGAGCTGAAATATATCTAGGTTAAGTGCAGAGCAAACATTAATCCGATGGGGTTATTTCGTGTGTGCAGTTGTAGTTGGACTAGGGCTGAAATGTGCAACTCACTACAGCCTTGATCAGAGGTGATGGCAGCATCTCAGCAGCATCAGCTCAGCGCTGCATTTTAAACGGTTTCTCAAGTCGATGGTCTCAGCCTGGTCAGCAACAATCACATTCAAATGGTTCTCTTAACAATTGAAGGTGATGCAACAATTGAAGGTGATGCACTGCTCTGTGAGAGCTACGATTGGACTCTTTGTCTCGCGACAATTGGAAGTTAACTGGGGGGAGCTGCAACAAGCACGTTACATTACGACTGATAATTATTTGTGTACAATCACCGTAACGTTGGTGAATCACTTCGGAGTGCACTAGAGTGGGGACATTTTCAGGAGAAAGTGAAATTAGATTAAATGTATAGCGGCATTGATTATTCTGTTTGTTGCAAGGGATTATCTCATTATGAAGCTAATATGGGTATTGCAATAGTTTATGGGGATTTAGGGAAAGGTAATTGCTGATAAGCATTCTTACTGTATTATTTGGCTCTTTATCTATGTTTAGCGACCTCTTTGCAGCTATCTGAGAGAAATGACTCGACAAAAATGCAAGCACAGGCCTGCTTGTCATTCCATAAAGTAGTATCTTAGAACACGCTGACTGACAATGGTAATTTATTATTTTGTGACTCTTCAAATTGCGTTAATAATAAAAAATAATGTGTAGCTCTTTATCAGTCGTCTTTCTACCAGATGGAGCCGTCCCCAGGCATTGTCAGCCTGGTGTTTTAACGATGCTACACCATGCTGGTCAGTGCCAGTGGAAAGTGGGGTGCTGAGCAGTTCGGCTGTCACTCGCCACTGATGTTGGTTGTGCCCCAAAATTGGTAAACGTTACGCGTAATATGATTGGTACATAAAACGGTTTAAAATAATTAGGTTTTTTTTATTAGAATCGTATCGTTATTTCATTATATTTTGCCTGCCAATCATATCTTATCTTTCCTTCGCGAAGCCTCAGGGGGAATTTTAATTGCACAGAAAATGTATTAAACGTAATTTGTCAGTGTTTTAGCTGATTGGGTGACCCTACAAGAATCTGCCTACAATTATGATGTATGCAGCATTTAAATGTGACCGCATCTCAAGATGTTGTACAGAAACATTTGGCATATTTATTTTATACAGAGATGCAGTCTGTCAAAGGCAGAAGGAAAATAATAATGCCTTAAGTCAACCTGGAATGACGTACTGATTAAGTCAGCTACTTTTGTGTGGTCGATTACTCGGGCCCATTTAAAAATGGTGGCCACCCCCCCCACCACATCCTGCCTCATGAAGGCAGGCTGTGGGGATGGTGAGACGTTTCTTAACTATTTTCATGTTATCAGATTAGTCGTGTAATTGAACAGATAATCGATCGAGTAATCGATTACTTAAATTATTTGATAAACCACTTCTAGTCTTGAAATTGCACTTGAACAGGGTCAGGGAGTGGATAGCACAGACGGCTGGGGTAAGGGAGTTCCAGACAATTTGGGGCAGCAAAGAAGAATGAGAAACCTCTCATTGATCGAAGTTTGCCTGAAGACTTTTATCGAGGAATACTGCTTATAATAAGTGAACTGCGTGTATATGTGTCACGTTCAGTGGAAGAGCATCTAATTTTGAAGTGCACAGTCACGTGTAATGTACCTTACTACTGTGGGGGCAGCAGAAGGAGAATTGACACTGCGGCTTTTTGTCCGCTGCTTACAACGAGGGAAGGCCAAGCGACATGCTGGGGTTGTCTGTGCGCGCTCCGTGATGTTGCAGCACCTGCAGCTGACGATCCAGGCCCTGCAGGAGGAGCTGCGCACCCAGCGCGACCTCAACCAGCTCTTCCAACAGCAGGACAGCAGCTTCCCCAGCGACGACAAGGCCGCCGGCGACGGGGGGGATGGGCGTACCGAGCCCAGCCAGGCCGAGTTCCACCGCCTTCGGGTGCAGCATGACCGCCAGTCCAAGGAGCTCTTCCTCCTGCGCAGGTGTGGAAGACTCGCAGGGGGTTCATGTTTTGGCTGTCATGTGCATGGCTTACAGGGTTTATGGCTTTGCTTTATTGTGCAGGACTTACATGGTTCAGGGTTCAACTTTCTTGTACGGGGCTTACATCATGGTTCAGAGTTTGGCTCTCCTGTGCAGGGCTTACATGCGTCGTGTTTTGGTTCTATTGTGCGGGGCTTACAGGGTTCGGGTCTTGATTATCTTGTGCAGGGCTTAAATGGCTCTGCGCCTGGCTCGATTGTGCAGGGCTTGCAGTGTTCATGTTTGGCTTCTACTGTGCAGGTCATACAGCTTTCAGGTTCTGGTTCTTGGGTGGGGTTCGCAGGGTTCAAGGTTTTGCTCCCTTGTGCGGGGCTTACATGGTTCATGGTTTGGCTATCTTAAGTGGGGCTTACCTTGTTCATGGTCTGGATTTATTGTGCGGTGCTTATAGGGTTCAGGGGTTAGCTCTTTTTTTGTGTGGGGCTTACATGGTTCAGACCCCGGCTCTCTTTTTGTGCTGTGATTATCGGGTTCAGGGCCCGGCTCTCTCGTGCAGGACCTACGTGGTTCATTGACATGATTGACTTACAGGGTTCAGGGTTCGGTTCTCTTGTTCAGGGCTTGCAAGGTTCAGGGACCGGCTCATCACACAGGTCATACATGGTCCGGCAGGGTTCAGGGTTTGGTCCTCTTGTGCAGGGCTTCCAGAATTCAGGGTCTGGCTCTATTGTGCAAGGCTTAGAGAGATGGTATCTTTGAAAGTGACACCTCATATTGAACGGCTAAATTTGGTTGTGAGAATTGTTCTTCAACTTACCATTGAGCTTAAAAATAATAATTGACATTCAATGCTTGTACGCTTCTACTTTTGATGTATTTGGCTGTGAGGGTTGCGGAGGGTCTTCACAACACATTTTAGCCAGATCATGATGTGATCAATGATGAAATCATCATATTGGCTGTGCTTTAACTTGGCACGATCAAAGTTGTAAGAGATAAGAGTAAACACATGTGTTGAATTGAGCAAGCTTATGAAGTACCGGTGAAGACGCTTGACGCCGAGGTTGAGGCACACGTATGTTTATTTTACAGCACAACAGTGGGCATATAACACTCGAGGGGTATTCGGCCCCCTCACCCGTATAACTCGGAATACACCCCTAACTAACTCTGTCCTAGCCCCGAATCCTCCACTAATGGGCTAGGGGAGGCTGACTGGCCCGACACTGGTAAGTCGGGCCTGGTACCCGGAGTTCCAGACCAGCTCTTACAAGAGCACCGGCTCTGGCTTTCGGGACCACGCCACTGGCTCAATCCTGTCCGGCCCTGGAAAGGACATCGAAGCAGGGGAGTCCAGGGCTCTATCTAAGACGTCTTCCTTCTTGTTCCCTTAGCTTAACATAACTGACTCGAGCCCCTTTGAACATCCCCTTTTATACCCAACCCCTCCCTGAGGGGTGGGGCCCCGGGGGATCTTAACGTTCGAACCAGCCCCCCCCAGGGTGTCTGGCTCGGACGTCGTAGAGGGCACCTCCCCGTGCGCTTACGTAGCCCCGCCCACTGTGTTTGTTTTCCATAGGCTGCCATGCATAACGGGCCCTCTCTTTAACACCCCTACATCACCCCCCCCCGCATAGCTTGCAGCCGTCCCGGCTGCCAACATACAAAAATGACAATAAAAGTGCATTTACACCTTGACCGCGCGTGTGCCTCACTATTTTCCAACAATAACAAGAACAGCAACAAGAACACAACAAAAGGCAACAGCAAGAAGAGAAAACAACCCGACGCACCCCCCCTTGAATAAATACGAATTCCGTAAAAAAACAACCTATATACAATTTGCAGGGAACCCACCATACACACAACACCAGGTGAATCCAACGTATGTACATTTCAATGGGCAGGGAACCAGAGGTGGGACAAAGTCATTGTTATGCAAGTCCAAGTCGAGTCTGAAGTCATCAAATTCATGACTCGAGTCTGACTCGAGTCCAAGTCACATGACTCGAGTCCACGCCTCAGAGGTGGGACAAAGTCATTGTTATGCAAGTCCAAGTCGAGTCTGAAGTCATCAAATTCATGACTCGAGTCTGACTCGAGTCCAAGTCACATGACTCGAGTCCACACCTCTGCAGGGAACACACCACCCACACAACACACAATGAACACAACCTATGTACACATCTTCCGGTCTCATAACAGTCTGCGCATTTTTGCGCGCGTCCTTGCAGCGGGCCCCTCACACGGGGTAACCCCGGGTGGCGGACCGTCAGGTGGCAATTGTCCGTCCCGGAGTGAGACCTCATCCGATGCCGCGCGACCGTTGGTATCCCCAGGAGGGGTGGTCGGGCGTGAGCCCGTCAGTCCTGATGCACCTGGAGGTGGCACGGCCGGCAAGGCATTAGGTGTGAACGACGGAGACGGACCCAGTGAGTCGGTCGACCCCCCACACGTTTGGCCACGCATGTGTGAAGTGGGTTTGTGTACCGCAACGAAGGGTTTTAACCTAGAGGGGTGCACGAACCATCGCCGCTTCCCCCATTTAATGCGCACGCACTGTGGTCGCAAAACTTCGACCACCTCCACAGGGCCCCGCCACGGCCGCGCCAGCTTAGGGGAGGTAGCCAGGGGCACTTGGGGACAGTGTAACCATGCCTTGTCCCCCGGCTTCCACTGTATTACGTGCGCCCGACCCAGCCTGAGGCGCTCATTCGCCTTTTGACGGAGGTCCGAGTTTAGCATAGCAGCATCCCGCGCCTCTGTTAATTTGGCCAGATTAAATTTGACGTGGTCAGCCAATTTAGTTTTCCCTTGCGGGTCGGGGATCTGCAGCTGGGCGCGAACAGGCGGGTCGGGTTCGCGACCGTACATGAGGTAAAAGGGGGAAAATCCCGTAGCTGCATGGGGTGCCATCCGGTATGCCGCCAAGACCCCTTGAATATGCAGGTCCCAGTCAGTCTGCGAGTCCGAGACCTGCTGTGACATCATTGACGTTATGGTGCGATGCAGGCGCTCGACCATTCCGTCAGTTTGCGGGTGATACGGGGAGGTACGAATTTTCTTCGTGCCTAAGAGGTCACAGACTTGTTTGAGTAATTTACCGGAAAAATTTCTGCCCTGGTCGGTCAGCAGCCGCTCCGGAGCACTTTTGTCCAGGACGTATCCCTGAACAAAGGCCTCCACGATGGCTGCTGCCGACTGGTTGGCCAGGGGCCAGGCCATAGGCCAGCGCGTAAAATACTCGACACCTGTCAACAAATACCTATTGCCCCTGGGGGTGGCGGGAAATGAGCCCAAAATGTCCAGCGCGACAAGCTCATTTATTCTGGATACTTTGATCGATTGCAAGGGCGGGTTGGACTCCCGCGCCGGCGGTTTCCGTTGCGCACACCGAGGGCATGATCCCAATAGATCCCCAACATCCCTCGTCATACCAGGCCAAAAAAAATCAAGTTGTAACAGTGCAAGAGTCTTTTGGGTCCCCAGGTGTAATAGGCGCTCATGCGCGGCCCACACCACCTTGCCTCGCAACTCAGAAGGGACCACCAGCCGATGTCGCTGGGATTTGCCGTCCCAATGCATCAGCAGACCATGCACCATTTCCCATGCATCCGAATCACCCTTCACCCGCCCAGCACCCCCGACGCGACGACGCCACCCGAGGAGGGAGGTATCCTCTATTTGGAGGCGCCCCCATTCGGTGACGGGCAACCCCAACAGGGAATCTCTTCCCTGTTGTTCGATCGAATTTGTAACCAATGGTTCGTCGTCGTCGGTGGCTGCCAAGATCGGAACCGATGCGTCCCCTGAAGGCCTGCATCGTCCCGACCCCAGGAGGCATGCACATTCGGAGGTGGTTGGCATGCGCGACAGAGCGTCCGCATTCGTATGGCGAACGCCCTTACGGTAGGTGGTTTCAAAGTCAAAGTCCTGGAGAACCTCCAACCATCGAGACAACTGTCCCGATGGTTGTTGAACTCGCAGGGCATACTGTAGTGCCGCATGATCTGTGCGGACGGTGAAATGCCGACCGTACAGATATGGGCGATACTGTTGGATGAAATAGACAATTGCCAACAGTTCCCTATGGGTGACACAATATCTTTGCTCCGCAGGAGACAACACCCGACTACCGTACGCGACCACCCGTTCCACGCCATCAACCGCCTGGGAAAGCACACCCCCAATACCCGTGTTGCTCGCATCGGTGTCGAGCAAAAAGGGCTTAGAAAAATCTGGGTAAATCAAGGGAGGGGCTTTTACCAGGGCGTCCCGAAGGGAGCAGAAAGCAGCCTCCTCCTCTTGACCCCAGTGGAACCGAACCCCTTTAGATGTTAAAGCGTGCAGGGGTTTTGCAATTGTCGCAAAATCAGCGACGAACCGTCGGTAATACGACGCGAACCCAATGAAACTCCTGACCTCTCCCACCGAGGTGGGAGTCGGCCAGGAGCTGACACACTGCGTTTTGGCGGGATCGGTAGCAATACCTGAGCGTCCCACGATGTGCCCCAAATAACGCACCGAATCGCGCAACAAATGGCATTTTTGGGGCTTGAATTTCAAATTAGCAGCCCGCATCTTTAGGAAAACCGCCCGCAACCTCTGGAGATGTTCGTCAAAAGTTTTACTAAAGACGATAACGTCATCCAAATAAATGAGGCACGACTCCCATTGCAATCCAGCCAAAACCAATTCCATCAAACGCTGGAAAGTTGCCGGCGCTGAGTGTAAGCCCATCGGCAACCGGTTGAATTGGAACAGGCCGTGCGGTGTACGGAAAGCAGTTTTAGGCTTAGAATCATCGTCCAGAGGAAGCTGCCAGAATCCCGAAAGTAAATCCAGTGTGGAAAAGAATCGCGCTCCCGCCAAGGCGTCCAGCGATTCATCCATCCGAGGGAGCGGGTATGCGTCGGCAACCGAAATTTTGTTAAGACGCCGGAAGTCAACGCAAAACCGCAACGAACCGTCCTGCTTTTTAACCAGGACGATCGGCGCTCCCCAAGGGCTGGTGGAAGGAGAAATGATGTCGGCGGCTAACATGTCATCAACAGCCGATTTGACATGGTCCTTTTCGGTGGGACTCAACCGAAACGGATTTTGGCGAATTGGCGCGCTGTCACCCGTGTCAATATGGTGACGCAGCAGGTGAGTACAACCCAAATCGTATTTATTTCGACTAAAAACGTCGGAAAATTCCCGCAGTAGTGTTTTAAGTTGTTGACGCTCTGAATCTGACAGGTCCGTCGATCCCGCACAAAGCGCCTCGAGCCACCCTTCATCGCTGTCCGAATGCGGTCGCGGCGCAGGGACAACGCTGACGTGATTTGCGACGGGTTCCTCACATGGCACCGGCGTTGCGTGAGCAAGCACGGTCCCCTGTGGGACCACCACCGTCTGCGAGCCCACATTGAGGACCGCGATGAAGGGTTCACCGTCCCCTCTTACTATGGTCTGGGCCGGAAGTAAGTGAGGTCCACTAACCCCGGCCCTAGACGGCCCCAACAGAACCCCTTGGGCCCCAATACCCTTAGCGAAGGGCCGCCGAAGTTTCAAAGGAATCAACATTTGCGCCCCCGGAGGGACGCGCACCGTTCTTTCTACGAATGCCGGCACCGTCGCGAACGCCGTCCGAGTCGTAACTGGCGATGGCAGAAACGCCATGCGTCTGCCCGACGGAAGCTCAATACATCCTTGGTCGATTAATATCCTAATCGGCATTTTGGCCAGGAAGTCCGTCCCCAGCAGGCACGGAACCGCCAGCGAGGAGGAAACAAAAATCGGCCCAGACAATTTAATTTCCCCAATACAAATTTGGGCACGAATTTGTCAGATGATGCCAAGGGAGCCCCCGTTAGCCGCATAGAATGGTATGTTAACAGGCATCAAAGGACGACTCCGGACAGGGAGAATATTGTAAATCAACTCCGAAATAATGGTCGCCGATGCTCCCGTATCGACCAGGATGCGCACTTCAACCCCGTCGATGTACCCCACAACGGCCGACGACCCCGACGATGCGGCTACCACACGATCGGCCAGCATGGACCACTGGCCGGGTTCGATATGAGTACCCAGGGTGGTGCGTGATGGTGCGATGGTGCGCGATATCGGCCCCCCTCTCGTTGCGGTGTTTGAGTGCGTGACGGGTGTGTGTGTGGGCCAAACGTGTGGGGTGCCGCGACTCGCCGGTTTATGATGGTGGAGCTTGTGATGAGGCCCGTCGTCCCGTTGAGGTGTCGTCCCGCGCTGACGAGGAGAGCGGCACCCCGAGGCGACGTGGCCCCGGACGCCGCAGTTAAAACACCGCGGGAGCGCCGTCGGAGGTGACGGATGGTCGGAACGGCCCGACCCGTCCTGGCCCGGCCGTGCTCCCGTCGCCTATTGGCGTCGGTGGTCGACGGCGTAGAGTTCCTCCGTCGGAAGGGTGGCTGCAGCCACCGCACGCCCCGCCGATGCCCTGCTGGCTTTCCGCCGGAGCGACAGGAGGTTGGCGTGGAGGAGCCTTGCCGCCTGGAGCGATGTCATCTCTGCGTCCTCCTGCGCGACCACAGCGATGTCAAGGTCGTCAGCCAGGAGGAGGATTTTCTCCGTGACCATAGCGTCGATGCCGTCGTCGTCCATACGGGGGAAGGCCGACTTAGCCATCGCCAGGAGGCTCGTCCGATATGCTAGGGGCGACTCCTTCTCACCCTGCTTGCGGTCGTAAAATTGCTGTCGGCATTCGGCCGATGGTCCATAGACCCCGCCCAGCAGCTGTAGTGCCATCGGTAACGTAGACCGCTTCTCTCTCGGCGCCGATGTGAGGGCGGCGAGCGCGTCACCGTCGAGGAGCGCCGGCAGCGCGCAGAGGGCCTCCTCATCGGACCATTTCGCCATCTCCTGATGGGCGAGGAAACGTCGGCGAAAACCGGCCCAGTCCCCCTCCGCGCCGATGAACTCCTTCAGCGGGGGCAGTCTTTGATGAAGCGCAGCGGTCGTTGTAGACTCCCGCAGGCTGATGCCACCACCACTCGGCTGTGCGTCGGTGCGAGCGGCCGATGGGATCGCCTGTCGCGGTTGTGATGACGTTGCAGCTTCAGCGACGGCGATGTCGGAGCGGATGTCTAGGCTGGCCACGCCCCGAACAGCTGCAGCGTCGATGGCGGGAGTTTCAAATTCGGACTGCTCCGAAATGGCGGGAAGGCGCCCTGGTCGTTGGCTCGCCTCGCCCCGTGTTGGATCACCGGCCCCTAATCGTGTGATGGTCTCCAGCGTGGCGGCAGCGGCATACAGCAGCTCCGCCAGCCTCCCGTGAGCCAGCCGTAACGCGTCTGGCTGCGGCCCCTCTTCATTTCGATGCCCCGGTAAGGAGGCGTCAGGCCCCGGCTGCACCTTGTCTTGTGGAGCCGTCTCGGGCTCGACGATCTCGGCAGTGTCTTCCTCCTGCGGTACTTTGGCCCGCGCTGTTTTCCGCGTGTCCATGTTCGAATTACTTCTGACACCAGTTGAAGTACCGGTGAAGACGCTTGACGCCGAGGTTGAGGCACACGTATGTTTATTTTACAGCACAACAGTGGGCATATAACACTCGAGGGGTATTCGGCCCCCTCACCCGTATAACTCGGAATACACCCCTAACTAACTCTGTCCTAGCCCCGAATCCTCCACTAATGGGCTAGGGGAGGCTGACTGGCCCGACACTGGTAAGTCGGGCCCGGTACCCGGAGTTCCAGACCAGCTCTTACAAGAGCACCGGCTCTGGCTTTCGGGACCACGCCACTGGCTCAATCCTGTCCGGCCCTGGAAAGGACATCGAAGCAGGGGAGTCCAGGGCTCTATCTAAGACGTCTTCCTTCTTGTTCCCTTAGCTTAACATAACTGACTCGAGCCCCTTTGAACATCCCCTTTTATACCCAACCCCTCCCTGAGGGGTGGGGCCCCGGGGGATCATAACGTTCGAACCAGCCCCCCCCCTAGGGTGTCTGGCTCGGACGTCGTAGAGGGCACCTCCCCGTGCGCTTACGTAGCCCCGCCCACTGTGTTTGTTTTCCATAGGCTGCCATGCATAACGGGCCCTCTCTTTAACACCCCTACACTTATAAGAGCTTTCAGAGAAAAAGGCGACGTGGGGGGGGGGGGGGGGTATTCCACAATCTCCAGTGTTGGGTTTTGGCTTCAGTGTTGGTGATGAAGGGGTTACAGAGTTTAGCTTCTATTGGTCTGGTTTATTGTTGGCAATTGGCATTATTGTTTAGGTTCACCTTTGGTTCCCCATCGTTACAACTTTAGAGTTTATTTTCAGTGCTTGTGATTCGTGTGCAGTGATAATAGGATGTAATGTTTACCTTCAGTGTTATAGTTTAGGTTTAGGATAATGGCTTACGTTTACATTGATCAGCTTAGAGGGTTTGGTGTTTTGTTTTGGTGTTTGGGTTTAGCATTAGTGTACAGTGGTTTACAGGGTTAAGAGTATTTTTTTGGCTTCAGTGTTAGAGTTTGTATTTTAGTGTACTGGGTTAGGGTTTGGATTTAGTGTAAGGATTAGGGTTTATCTATTGTGCTAGGTTTCAGGTTTAGCCTTATTATGCAAGAGCGAGAATTATGATCGTTGACAGATGTATATTTAATGAACACTGATTTTGCTGGAATTTTTACTGTTTTCATGTTTATCACAAACAATGATGTTGCTTGATTTGTCGTTTTGTTGGCAGTTGCTAACCCCAAGAGTCCAATGCAAATGTAATCATCAAACAATTTGTTGACTTGCATAAACATTGATCTGCCTACAGGGTTAAATAACGTTGTGAATGAGATGTGAGTGTCCGGATGTATTTTTCACACGCCAACATGTTTCCAATCATTTGGATTACAGCAATTGTAGTAAACAGACACACGAATGCATAAACAACGGTCACAATACCAAGGGTTCAAGAAAGCCAATCCTAAATAAATAATTACACACTGCCGTCCATTAAAATGGCTGCTGAGTCGCGGAGGACAATTCTCGGCAACCCACTGTGTCATTACTGTTTTGTACAAACTGTCCTCTCTGCTGGGTAATGCCTACGTTTTGTAAAAATGTCAATTTCTCACTGGAGACATTGCCTTTGTCAATCGGAGGCGGTGGTGGGAAATGATGGTCCTGCTTCGTACTTTTTCTCATCACAATGCCGTTCAGCTCCACGGTTGCGAGTTTTTTTTTTCACGAGATCTGTTCAGTACAACATGGGCGCACTGGTCAGTGTGGTTTGGTGAAGGAGGCTCCGCGGACTTTTTCAGAGATCACTCACCATGACTTAAAGCATCCATGGTCGGTAATCAAACTCTTACCAAGGAGGTTCATAGCGCAGTGGGCCTACCACTGTGCCACCGTTTAACAACAGCAAAACCCAATTCAATTATAGGTACTTCCATATTAAAAATTATTAACCAAACCATGTATGTATTTACATGTATGTATGGCCAACATCACTGACCGTTATCTAAAGCGGTCCTGGGCCTCCCCTATATCGACTCGGCCTCAATTGAGTACCTGGTGTGATGTGTGGACATCGCCACTCGGGAGACAAAGGCGGTCGTCAGTGGTGTTGGCCACCCACCGCCTTGTGTGTCGTGCTGTCTTTCAAAGGTGCTCGCTAACAGCACTTTCCCCAACAGTCAGTTAAGGCTATTTGGGGGATCTTCGTTTCTATGGGACCTTTTTGCCAGCATCAATATGATGAAAAAAATATATAAGAATAGGCTTTACCCTTTCTGGTAATAAAACAGGTGTTAAGATGTCCTTTGTCTTTAGTTTTTTTGTATGCTTAACTTTTTTTTGCACCGTACATAGCCCAAGCGTGCTAATCGGAAGCGCTAACAACCATATGCACGGGCAGGACCCTGGAGGAGATGGAGCTGCGCATCGAGACGCAGAAGCAGACGCTGGGAGCGCGCGACGAGTCGATCCGCAAGCTGCTGGAGATGCTGCAGGGAAAGGGCCCGGGCGGACGCTGTGGCACCATGGGAGACGACGAGAGGCTGGCGGACACCGAGGCGCAGCTGAGTCACATTCAGGGGCTGCTTGAGGGACGCGAGCGTGAGAACCAGCATCTCCGAGAGGTAGGGCACCGCGCCGGCTCGGTCTGTGCCTTGAAAGTATTCACTGTTGTATGCTTTTCAATGTATTAACAACACTGTTATGTTTTTAGATTGTTTATTAGCTTTTTTATTTCGAGTGCGATCGGTGTCATGCCATGATTGGACCTCTTGGATTGATTCTTTTTCTATACTGATTGTGCTCGGTGTCCTGTCACGCTGAGCAGTGTCAATTCTTCATGTTAGCGAATGGACCTTGGAAGTAGATCTCACAGAGCTACTTCTGAGATTCTTTCAAGTCACCTGTGAACCAGAGGACATTTGATGGAACCTCTGGTACGCACAGTGGAGAGCAGTACATTCTCAGCAACCCACAGAGTAATTTTTGTCATATTACCGTCAAACCAACATCATTCTCAGAGCTGCAATGTGGCTAAATTAAATTCAAGACCAAATGTAATTGTGATGGGTCAATTGTGATCTGGTTGAGGCCACCAACTCACTACATTTGGGAACCCGGTTTGGTCACCCGCTTTAATTAACATGCAAATAGGAACACGAAATGTAAGACCACTTTCAAATGAAGACGCTTGAATAGAATTGGAAGATAAATTTTGTAATCATAGGCAGCCGTCTGGAATCAAACCCAGGACCCCGACGGTGCAAGTCGCAGGCTGGAATCTCTGAGCGACCTGACCCGTCTCTCCATCAATTGAATTTGACACAAGTCTTCCTAGCAACGCCACACTTGTTTGCGAGGAGACGGAGCAGTTCTAGATTTGAAGCTTTCGTGACTGCAAGGATTCATACTGTTAGGTTTTTTCCGGTAAAGTCACGTGACTTTACCGAAAAAACCTAACCGTATGAGACGGAGCAGCTCGATGCACTCATTGCTGGCAGCGGCCAGGTGTGAGCTCCACACGTGTGTAGAAAAAAGGTGGGCAGCTCAGGTTCTTAATTGGTAACTTTTTAAGAAATGTTCACACTGGTTGTATTTGTGCATTGTTTGAAAGTCTGCGTCTGCTCTTTTGGGAGGGCAATGTTTTGCCACACTGGGATTATTTTAGAAAGATGTGGCCACTAGTGGGATTATTTTAGAAAAATGTGGCCACTAGCCATGCTTCTTGTCATAACAACTTGAATCGGGAGAACGGGAACGAAACCTGCTGGGTGTTTGCTTCGTGGTTTCCGGTCCCCTTGGGCTTAAGGCTCCCGTCATGACGTATCTGCTCGCCTCGCAAGTTGCAGTGTCAGTGGTTTATTAACTTAGGAAAAACACATTTAAAGGCCAACATTTTTTTTTATCTAGCTGCAGTATTAAGGATGCTACAATATGAGTTTTCATCATACAATGCTATATTGATTTTCACGACATGACCTTCATCGCAATATCCGTTCCCATCGCTTCGTTTCTGTATTGTTTTTATGCTTTGTTCTACTTTGAGTACAAATAAAGATTACTTAATCCTTCTTAAACTGCAAATCACCCGACAGAAGCCTTTCTGCATTTGTGACAATTCTTTCATATCTATCTATGTACAACTTTAGTTAATTAGTTTGTTATTTCGTAAGCATTTTGTCAAGAAATAAAGTAAAAAAATGTGTGACCACAATCGCGATATAGTGATATTTTGGAAAATGGACGATACGATTATTGTGGCTCTTATACCGTACAACGTATTGTTGTATCGCCGTGTCATCACTATGCTAGTACATAATTATATTGGTGTTCACCATCTAATGACAGATATTTTTAAATCTTGTAGGACTTCTACACATGCTGGCAATATGGGGTACAACCATGAGACACATCTGACTTGTCTCTCAGCCATGCCAAAGCGAGGAATGCAGTCTCAACCCCTGCGGGATGTTTGCCAGGAGCTACTTTGAAGTGACCCTAACATTCCAGAGAGGAAAAGCTACTAAAAAAAAAGTTTTTTTTAGATCAAGTGGATTGCCCATATTTATCTTTTTCATCTGTTTAGACATGATCCTGTCTTCTTGTGCGAGTTTCTGTGAGGTGTATTCAGTCTTATGTACTTATGCCTTTTCTCATGTCTGTCCAGCTGTTCTTGTCTGTCTAGCAATGTGTCTGCCCCTCTGTTTATAATTTTCACCTACAAATTTTGCATCTTGCCATCTCGGTAAATAAAACCTGTTGCAATGAGCACATTTAAACATGTTAAATGTCATTCGCTCATACCGCAGCAATGACATGAGGTCACATTTTGTTAAATATTGCATTGGCGATGCATATTGCAGATGTGTTGCAATGAAAATCACTCTGGGGGAAGATATGATTGACGGTCCAGACTAAGCTTCTCTTGAGAGATTGAATCTGCAACAGTCATCAGCAGAAAGGTGGACATTAAGCAATATATTATATTTTGCTGATGCTATGCTTCAGTGCGGCCTTCTAAAATTTGCTCGGCTAGGTGAGTTACAGTTTGCAATAGAGTCCAAATAAAAAAATATTTTGTGTGCACGAGAGAATGATCCTCTTGTTGCACTGAGTTAAAACTGTTAAATGTACTAGAAAGCCTATATCTACAATGTTTGATACACACAAGCATGCGTTTCAATATGCATTCGCAAATAATAATTTTGCTTGTGCGAGCAATTCCAATATTATTGGCGATGGATTCGGACATTAAACTCGAGGGTATTCACGTTCTTATTAAGCATCACAATGTGTGAATGATGCCACTGTGCACTACTTGGTGAATTTAACTGCCGCCACCTATGCATCTGTGCATAATTGGTGAAACAATGACTCATTGTATGCCTAAGGTTGACCATGCACGGTACATGATTTATTCATATTCTTGGTTCTTTCGGTAAAGTCACGTAGAAGGGAAACAATAAAATTAGAAAAATATCAAACAATACAATTCTCAGTACGTTTTTTTCAAATTTTCTTGCTGTAGATGTCACACCTGCTAAATAATTCCTTGTGTTGCAGTCGAAATGTCGTGATAATTTTATTATTTTATTTTTTTATTTTTTTATTGTTTGTTTTCTACGTGACTTTACCGAAAACCAAGAATATGAATGCCTGCAGTCACGAAAGCTTTAAATCAAAATCATTTATTCAATTAATATGAATAATCACAGATAAAACAATATTGCCAATTATTTACTCGGCGAGGCCTCAGTGGGTCTCAAGAACGATATTCCAGAGTGTCTTGTAATTTGGACATCTAGCCAAATGCATTAATGAGTACTCTTAGATTTTTTCGGTAAAGTCACGTAGGTAAAAAATAAAATTAAAAGTTAATAAAAGTAATAATGGAAATAAAATAAAATAATAAATCACGACGTTTCGGAGGCAACACAAGTCTCCATCATCAGGTGGGACCGTCACAGCTATAATTACTGCATCAAGTGGTTCTTTCGGTAAAGTCAAGTAATGCAGTAATTTTAGCTGTGATGGTCCCACCTGATGACGGAGACTTGTATTGCCTCCGAAACGTCGTGATTTTTTTTATTTTATTTTATTTCCATTATTGCTTTTATTAACTTTTAATTTTATTTTTTACCTACGTGACTTTACAGAAAAAACCTAAGAGTATGAATCCTTGCAGTCACGAAAGCTTCAAATCTAGCATTAATGAGTGTTTGGCAGAAGGGAGTAATCTGGAATGCTTGGAGAGTTAACACTCCCCCACCTATACATGTACACACTCCAAAGAGATACTCCTTTGAGTGTTAGCCAATTCTACTCGTGGACTGCACTCTTTGCTTCATCGTCCTCTCCTGGTAACTCGTAGTCCCCGCAGCGCTCTACCTGCAACACCTGGCAAGCTGTTCACCCATCCAAGCACTCGCCAGGCTCAATTCCTCCTCTGCTTCTGAGATTGAACGAGGTCAAGCAGAGTGATGCCGTTGTACAAAAACAACGTATTTGGCAGACTACACAAGTTTCACCCTGCTGTTGGGGTTTACACATGGGGGGTTTTTGATGCTGTGGGAATAGCATAAGAATATGAAAATAAGGAAGTCTTGCACCTGGACTTTATCAGAGGGAGTGAGTTGACAGCACGGATGGCTGAGGAAAGGGAGTGCCAGATAATGGGGGGCAGCAGAAGAGAAGGAGTGATTTACTTGGGCGAAGATTGGCTGGAGACTGATATATAGAGTCTTGGTTACTAGAAGTAACTGATGTGGGCACTTTGGTTTGTCCAGAGAAATACAGCTTACAAGTGAAGTGATTGCAATCGCAGTGATTTACCTGGCTTGACATGTCCAGCACATTATCGTAATGTATTATTTTAAATGGAAGAATAACTCGCTCAAAATGTAATCAACATGACCTTCGCTTTATTCACGTAGTTTTACATGCATAATGTATATCATCGTGATTTCTATCAATAAGTTTATTACCTGGCTCAAAGAGCCTATGTAACTCATCTTGTAAATCAATGCACAATCTAGTGTACAAGATTGAATATTTTAAGTGCTGAGTTTTCATGCAAACTTTGTTTAAATGTTTACTGTGACCCATTTGGCTTGTCGGCCACACCTCAACCTGAAGCCTCTGGAACAAAGCACAAATATAACAACGGCGTAAGTCATACCCGGCGTATAAATAGTGGGTGGCATCAACATCCCATTGCAGAGCCTGTCGTCGGCGTGCTTGCTACCTTCTGGTTTTGAGACGGCAGGTGGCAGTATGACGCCGAGTTTGGAGCCAAAGTTACAATCAGCAGTTGCAGAAAATCACCAATTTGCCTGGCTCTTGTTGGTGACATGTTCACAGCTGTTGTAATTAACCGTGAACAGTTTGGCTACCAGGGTGCAAGTTGCGGTGCATTTTATTGAGTCTTGCATCGCAAAGACGTGCTACTGGCTTTGGCAACCCTGCAAAACCGTGCGTACATTTTCTTCGTTTCAACTGGCTGAGAGCTCATTGAGACATCAAGCCTCTCTTGCGAAGGAGAGCTATGTATTCCCTGCGTAATCCCACTTTTTGCACTGCATTTAGATAATTTCATTTGGGATTGCGGGGGCTATTTATTTTGGCT